CGGAAACGAGAGGTTGGGTGCGGGTTTGGTAAAAAGAAAGCTGAAGGTGATGCGGGGTAGCCTCGGAATCGTGGATGTCGTCCGAACGTGGCGAAGTCCGAAAGCGGGTTGTACGTGAAGCAGTCAACCCCGATAAGGAAAAGAATTTTCCTTTACATGAGGCTAGTTACCAAACGAGTGAAATTCAAGGGTAATGGTTATCGTACGTGTCATTGAGCCCCATTATTGTTACCATTCGCATATTCTCCCCAAAATTTCAGAGAGAACTATCGTCGGACTTGTTTCTGGAAATCCGCCTTTCTTTCAGTGCAGTTAAAATATCTTCTTGGACATCACAACAAATATCTCCGTCTAGAGTGGAGCTTGCAGAGTGGAGCTCCAATTGGTCAAAATGGACCAGTTCACCCAGTCATGAGCGTGAATGGAAAATTGAAGGAAAAATGTCTTGTACTGTAGGCAGCTGTCACTGAGAATTACCGCTGGAAAGGCAAGCTGATGACACGGATTAGCCGGCCCGTCAGTTCAATGTGATTGTCCATCAGCTGCCCGCGTGCACAACAAGCGAACTCCTCAAACGTCCTGCGGGCAACACGCTTCTTCAGGCAGAAAACGCCTGACACACTTCTTCAGGCAGAAAACGCCTGCCGAAGGTGCAGTGGCGTGGCGTGGTTCGTGGGAGAACCAATTGCCCTCAAGCATTTTTCTCGATATTTATGCGGACTGGTGTGTGATCTGGGGACAGTGTCGGGCAGACAAAATATGTACAATGGACACTGCGCCCTACCCAGTCCAGCGCAGGAAGGGTGAAGGTGCCCCCAATCCAGCGCAGTGGCTCAGCTCCGCTCGCAGGAGGTTGTTTTAGACAGATGCTCATTGCAAGCAATCAAATCAGCGCATTCAAGGCACCAAGGACAAGACGAGCCTCTGCCTTGCAGCTTTGTCCTGCCGCTGCGCGGATTGCTGCTTCAGGTTCGCCAACGCACCGACCAGGACGTGAATCGCTACGCACAATTGGAACTTGGAAGCCGCCTCCCTGGTTATTTTCCAATCTCTCTTCTTCCAATCTGCTTGTCATCGGAGCATGAAGTGTACGAGCATAGCGGGACGACAACGAGACAAGAGACGACGAGATGAGTGGATCGGGCAAGCCAAATGAGACGAGAAAGCAGTGCACCAGCTCAAGTCATCCATTTCGTGGTGTCGTCCAATGGATGTCACTAAAACCTTGTTCGGTTTGGACAATTTTGTCGGAAACGCCACAGGTCAGCAAGGGAAGGGACGGGTCACACGGACTCACGGACGGGACCCGCTTGCTGACCACTATTGGAGGAGATAGAACTACTGTTCGCCAATCCCTCGCAGCACTACACCTGTTCCGCGTTATTTTCACACTCTGAAAATCGCGCACGCGGCTTTGTCTGTTCTGGGGGGTGTGAAGTTAGGGGTAAGAAAACTGTTCCGTCTAATTTCACGCGCGCTGAGTCAGCGCGCGTGGAAAGTGAAATCCGAAAGTTGACTCAGCAGCTTTGACTTTGTTGAACATTCCTTGTGTGTTGGACACACCTCCGAAAATGCAAAACTCAAGAGAAACAAATTCTATAACTGGAAAAATGCAAGTACACCTGAACGTAAATGAAGGCCTACAAACAAAAACAGAAATTCGGAACATGATACAATGCTCCTTCCTTGCACACGTTAAAAGGCAATGGTACAAGGAGCACTATGTGTTTAGCCCAGCATACGCGAACGCCATGTTGTCTTCTGAAAGCATGTCCCTAAAACTGTAGGTACCAGCGGCGCGATCAACCGCGGGACGAACATACCTCGCCATAGAGGAATCCGATGCGAACTCATGCAAGGCCGTCGTTGCCGCTGCTGCATCTGCAGCATCCATGCCTGCCTCAGAGGGGGGCGCGTCATTCAGATCGAATGGGACGCCGCGGTTTCCGGGTTGGGCAGTCCACCAACTCCTACCAACCCACTCCGTGTCGTTTGCAACGCGTGTAGAAGTGGCGACGTGGTCGTCACAACCAACGAACGCCCGAGCGGTCATTAAAGGATCGTCAATCTTCAGTTTTTTCATTAACACACCTAGAGCTGTGATGTCCGCCGTCTCAGGATCCTTAGAAGGTCCTTGAAATAACCGTTCCAACCCCCACTCCTCCAACCAATTGTACGGCACCACACCGGACCGACGCCAACACCTCCTTATGATCTCTCGACCCATAGTACTCCATACACCACATATCCATGTAATGGCAGTCCGCAAGTCGGGCCGGACAGTTTTCCGTGCCTCTTGATCACGCGTGCGCTGAAATTGATCAAGCAACCACGTGACCAAAATTTTCCGGTACCGCAACTTCAATGTTGCGATGACACCTTGATCCAAGGGTTGTACGTGGGAAGTGCAGTTTGGGGGTAGATAAATTACCCTCACGTTCGGAAGCTCCACAACCTTGATCCCGTCCCTCCAAAACTCGCGCTTTCCCTCGATGTTATTGATGTTGTGTGCGCTTGCATTGTCCACCAATATTGCGATTTTCCGGTCCTTGAATCCCATGTCGCCGTCCACCGCGTCCACCCATTGGGTGAAGATCTATGCGCAACACAAGAAAGCCAAAGAGAGTTGTGAGTAAGTTGGAAATAATGTTTGCATACACGACAAGTGGGAAGTGGCGGGGGTATTCATTGCTTACCTCTGAGGTCATCCATGCACGCCTATTTGCACGGTACCAAGTGTAGTCGTCCACGTTGAAATCGTTCCGGAATGAAGTCGGCCGCAATGCCTTTCCAATGACGATTGGTTTCATCAAATCGGTGCCATCGGCGTTGCAACACAATGCAAGGGTAAACCGTTCTTTGTCTAACTTCCCTCCCGCCACGGATTCGTTCGCGTACGTGCGACGCGGTTGTTGACCGGAGATAAATCCGGTCTCATCCATGTTGTACACATCCGCGGCCTCGTACCCAAAATCTTTGAGGATTTTCGGTATGGTCTCCCTAGCGAGGGCAATGGATTCAGCATTAGCATCCTTCGCCTCACCCTTCCTCTGATACGACGACATCCCCATTCGTGCAAGCGCGCGGCATAACCACCCGGGAGAGACTGTGAAATCGCTAGGAAGACGCATAGCTTTGGCAAATGCCTCCGACTTTTGAAGAAGAACATGGAAGGTGATCGGTAAATTCGCTGCAGTGTGCCTAACAGCCCACGCATGCAACCTGGCCTCAAGGGCGGGAAACTTTCCCTCACGGAGGCGTTTACGGTCTGTGGGGAGTAAAGAGGGGGCTGTCCATTTGGTTGAGGCTTTTAGTATCTTACATACAGTGCTACGACACGGGTGTTTTTTGAAGTTCGTGAAGCACCATAACGCAAGCTCTTTGTGCGACAAGTTCGGGTTCCTAACACGATACTCGCATAATGCAGCCTTCTCGACACGAGTTAGAGCTGCATTTTTTTTAGGCTTAGGCATTCTGTTATGCTGGGAAGGCTGTTAGGAGGTGGAAAAAACGCTGGCGAGAAATGTGGCAGTCTCTGGTGTCGAATGAGTTTGTTCTGAATTTTGAGACTGGGTTTCGAGAGATGGTGAAGCTGGGTTGGACATTCTAATTTGTACACGTCAGGTTCATGTGTACTTGATTCAAGGAAGAATGCGTGCATTTTTTTGTGTGGTCGCGTTTTTGGCGCTGTGATTTTCGCCAATGCGAATTGAACACGTGAGAAATTTGAAACATCCGCAATCGGAGGATTGCGGATGCGAATTTCTGGATTGTGCCTGGAAAAGCGATTTCGCGCCCAGGTCAAACATGAAATGACCCCTTGCTGACTCAGCCGCGCGTGCACCCCCTTGGTCACTTTTCTGCCGCCCCTGGTCAGATTGCCCCGGAAAAGGACAAAGGGGTTGAAGATAGGGGGTGTGAAATTATCGCGGAACAGGTGTAGGAGGATCTCCGTACTGTATTGCTGCGGTGAGGATTGAATCGCGCAGTCCAGCGCTGAATCGGGGAGTCGAGGTCACGCTGCAGCATTTAGCCGACAGAAAACAACAGCGCGAAGCTAGTCAGTTGAGCCACAGTCAAGCCCAGCCAGAGGCAGCTCGAACAGCTAACAACTGATCGCCATGGCTCATCCTGCTCCTCTTCTTCCGCACTAGTTCCCGCTCTCCACATAAGCAAGCACTTCGAATCCCAGTAATTCCACGACTCACCAGCATTGTTATGAAGAAACTGGAATGCCACATTTTAACTCCGATAACAGCTTGAACCCACAACTAGTATTGATGAGCCACCTTGCTCTTCTGGCGAGTTCTGTTAGCAAATCACGACACGCCACTCCCTCTTCTGGCAAGTTCTGTCAGTGACTCACGACACGCCTCGGCCCAGAATCAACCACTATCAGTCATTTTCCATTGCCACGGCATCCTCCGCCATCGGCCTCATCAAGTTCATCCGCGCTCTCCGCAATGACGCGGCTTCGTCTCGACCTAGACCGAGCCTCCTCCGCCTCCGCGAAGCTTCTCGCGGCTTTCAGCGGCAACCCCCGATCCCCCACCTCCTCCTCCTCCTCCTCTTCCTACTCCTACTCCTTCTCCCATTCCGGCAAGGGCCATTCTTCCTCCACCGCACACCACTCCGCGTCCTCCCCCTCGTCCTCCCGGCCTTACTCATCCTCTTCGTCGCGCCGCAAGAGCGAATCGGATTCGCACCACCAACCCCATCCCCGCTTTGCAAGTCCTAGCGCTGCTGCTCCAAGCACCTCTCGGCATAATCACACCGACCGCTACAATGGCCACTCGCACAGTGGGCACACGCACCGCGTCTCCTCCCCTTTCGACGAGCCGGGATGCAACCTACCCCCGAAATCGCCGACGGGAGCGAAGTTTTCGTCGTCTTCGTCGTCGTCGTGGTCCCATAAACTCTCGCCTGCTGTCTGCGATCGACCAGGCTTGCATGGATCCGAACCTCCTCGGTTTGGTTCGGCAGCCGAAGTTTCAACGGCGATGGTCGCAGGTTCGAGTCCGGGAAGCGACTCTATCATGGGGCACGGCGGGCTGGCTGCGCGCATGCTGACGGCGACGACGGAGGAGCTCTTTGAAATCCCCGAGATTGGCGTCCCGCCGGAATTCGCGGAGATGTGGGTCGCGTCGCACTCCGACGACTCCTTTTCCGTCGCGTCGCAGCCAGTGCCGTCGGGCGGCTCCAACGGCTCTCTTGTTTGCCAGTGCGACTCGTGCCGTGTACTATCGTGGGAAGAAGGCGCCTCGGGAGAGGTGTGTGACCCCACGAAAGGGTTCGGTTGCGCGATTAACGAAACTGTTGCGGCGCCCGCGGCAGGCGCGGCGGAGGACTCTGCCGCCCCGCGCGGAGTCCCCGCGGGCCTCGCAGCGTTCCTCCTGGATGCGCCAGTCGAAGCGCTGTTTGACTCCTTCGACGACGCTCCCGCGCCCGCCGCCGCCACCTCCGCCGCAATGGCTGCCGCTGCGGGAGGCAACCGCACGGCGTTCCCGCCCGGCGAGGGCAGCTGCAGTGGCTGGTTGCCCGTGCCGCTTGCGGCGGAGTCGGCGCCGGCGCTCCTAGCTGCAGAGATTGCGGCGGCGGAAGCAGCGAGGGCGGGCGGCTGCGGGGACGTTTGTCTGCAGCAGCCGCAGTGGTGCAGAAACGAGGCGGACGCGCGGAGAGAAGGTGCGCATCAGCCGTACACCATGCGCGCGTCCCCCGCGCATTCCGTTCCGCCGCTCCCCCAGCGCAGCGTCTCCGCCAATCACGGCAGCCCGTGGCGCAACATGAGGTCGCGCGAGTGGGATGCGCTCGCGTCGCCCGCCTCTGTGGCGGAAGCAGAGTGGAGGGCGCGCAGAAGGGGAAGCGCGGAGGCGGAGCAGGCGGCTTGGAATAGCGGGCCGAGGAGCGTGAGTATGAACATGGGGTTGCTCATGGCGCACCGGGGGCTGGCGGAATATTACGCGGAACGGTGCGGGGGAGTGTGCGGGGGAGGGTGCGGCGGAGGGTGCGCGGAAGGGTGGCAAGAGAGCTGCAATGGCGGCGCAGTCCGGGGGGATGCGGCGGGGAGCGGGAGCGCGGACGAGGGGGAAGCGCTGGCGCATGTGAGCAGCGCGGGGAGCACGCTGGACGCGCCGTTCTACGCGGGCGGAGGGGAGGGGAGCAGCAGCCATGGGAGCGGGCGGAGCGGGAGCAGCATGAGCGAAAGCGTGAGTGGTGGGGAGAGCGAGAAGGAAGGAATCGCAGGGGAGCATTCGTACCCCCCCCTTCAGAACGTACAGGCCAGTGCTGCTTCCGCCGCCACTGCTGCTGCATCCCCTTCCGCGCCTTCCGCGCCTTCCCCCCAGCACGTGACGTCCCCCGCGGAGCTGCAGCTGCGCGCGGAGCTGATGCGCATGGAGGCGGACCTGGCGTGGGCGCAGGGCAGCGCGCCCCCCTCCGCCATGCCCCCCGCCCTGCGTCAGCAGCTGGCGCTCATGCGCGGCGAGGTGGAGGCGCTGAGGCAGGCGCTGGACAGACATGCACAGGCGGAGCCGGGCGCGCAGGGGGCGCAGGGCGCGCAGGGGGCGCAGAGCGCGCAGGGGGCGCAGAGCCCGCAGGGGGAGAAGAGTGAGAAAGCGGCAGTGCAAGAGGCACAGGTGGAGCAGGAGGAGGTGGAGGGGCATGTGGGGCGGAGAGTGCAAGAGGAAGAGGGGGAAGAGGAGAAGAATGGCGAACGAGAGGGAGAAGAAGCGTAGAAAGGCAGTAGTGCACAATATGGGCTGTGCGGGTCAGCTGCATGGCCTGCGGCCCTGCTAGCCGGAACAAGCCGCATGTGCCTGTCCAGTCACTTGGATAGGTAAGGCAAGGCACCAGCAGTGCAGCAGCTGCTGCTGCTGCAGGTAGTGTTGCATGTGGATGTACACATGCGAGTGGGAACGGCCATGGAGAAATTAGAAGCGTTGTTGAGAGTCCTTGGAAAGGAAGGTTGGCTGCTGTGGAGTGCCAGAGGGTAGCAGCAAAAGCGCGGGGGATGGGAGAGAAGATGTGTGTCGTAACCTCATGTGAGCTGTTGCTGCTTGCATCAACCGTGCAAGCAGCATGGTGCAGTGCTGCTGCTCTGCAGAATGCTCACCGCCACCACAGTTGCACTGCACACGTTGACTGCACTGAGTTGTGGGATGATGCTGTGGTGTAGTGTGGTGAGTGCAACACTTGATAGAAGTGGTAAGCTTAGCTTATTCATCATTTGCAAGGGCAGAAGACATTGTAGCTGTAGGACCTTACCTATTTATTTATGATTGTTTGATGCCATGTGTACTTACAAAATTTCCCTACCTCGCTACATAGGTGTAACATTACCTGCTTAGGAGGAACTCCATCCATTGCCCTGTTCCTAGTACCACATGCATACACAGGCAACACTACATAGCCCTACAGAAAGCAAAGGATAACATACCTTGATGGGATGTGTTTTATGTATTTTATTCAAGCTGGTGGTACTTTAGTACACAGTCGTCAGCAGCAGCACAACCCACTCCTTCCAGCAAGCACAAACACGCGCATGAGAACTGGGTGGGTAGCAGCAATCCCAGTGAACGGCTGCCACTAGTCCCTGGCAATGTGCAGCAGTGCCATCGTACCATGATCATCATGACCCATCACCATCATCATCAGCCACAGCAGCCGCAGCAGCCACAGCAGCCGCAGCAGCCGCAGCAGCCACAGCAGCCGCAGCAGCCGCAGCAGCCACAGCAGCCGCAGCAGTGAGTGGAGTCCAACTCAGGTGGAACCACAGCAGCAGCAGGATTGGCATTCTCCTCTCGCCTCTCCATCAGCCTTGTGTGGGCAGCAGCAGTGGCAGCACGTCCCTCTGCAGCCCCCCCCACGGCACGTTCTCCCGGCTCTCCACTGCCACCCGCGCTGCTGCCATGCCCACTGCCACTGCTGCCACCAACCTCTCCTGTAACTCCACCTGAAAATTCACCTGGGACTGACAAGGTGGTGCTGCTGCAGCTGCTGGTGCTGTGCGCTGCCCACGGGCCATCAAGACAGTCGCAGCAACAGTTGCCCCCAGCAGGCAGTCTCCTGCACCGCTTAAATTCAGCTGTGAGTCAGGCACGCGAACGGGCAGTGCTGGGAAGTAATGTAGGCACAGACAGGAGTGGGACTCGGGGGTTCCGGGAACAGGAGGTGACTGTAGCGAGGCCAGGCAAGCTCCGTGCTTGCCTCTCGTTAGCAGCACGTTCTTGACTCCTGCCTGCAGCACGGAGAGCAGGGATGATGTGGTGGCGGTGCTCACACGAGGGGGGAGGGGAAGGTGCGGAGGAGGAGGAGGAGGAGGAGGAGGAGGAGGAGGAGGAGGAGGAGGAGGAGGAGGAGGAGGAGGAGGAGGAGGAGGAGGAGGAGGAGGAGGAGGAGGAGGAGGAGGAGGAGGAGGAGGAGGGGGAGGAGGAGAATGCGGAGAGTGGCTGATTGCTGGGCAGTTTGAGTGAGGGCAAGAGGGTGACTTGCAGGGTGAATTGCAGTGTGTTTCGCAGGTAGAGGTACAGCAACCGCTAGTATAAGCAGCAAGTGGACGTGCTGCTGCCATGCCTTCTTCTCTCGCTGCCCCTCCTGTTACTGTTGCTGCTGCTGCTGCTGCTGCTGCTGTTGCTGGTTCTCCCAATGCTGCTGCTACTTGTTGTGCACTCCGTTCCCCAAGGGTGTGCGCATGGTGGAAGTGATGCCGTATGGGGATAGGAGAGGCGGACGGGGAGGAGGAAAGGGAGGAAATGGAGGATGAGGAGGCGGTGGTGGTGGGGGGAATGTGTTGGGCGATGGCGTGCAGTTCTGCCTCATTGGGTGCCAGCACGTGGATCTGCAGGGCTCATGGGGGCATGGGTAGGCATGGGGTGCACACATGGGTGCACGTATGGATGCATGCATGGGTGCACGCGCACACACCATGCATGGTGGCATGGTGTGTGTGTGCGTGTGTGTGTGTGTGTGTGGGGGGGGGTGGGTGGGTGTGTGGGTGCGTATGTCTATGTCACATCTAATTCAACGTAGTTGTACTAGCAGCCACAACGTGATGGAACCTCCCTCCACCCATGTGTGTGTGAGAGCATGGGGGGGGGGGGAAGGGAGCGGCGAGTGTGGGATGTGTTGGGCGGGTGAAGCGGTTGTGTGGACAGAGGACGTGTTCGTGGGGGGTTGTGCAACAGCAACTGTGCGTGCAAGTTTGTTCGGGGTGTGTATTGTATGGTATGGTATGGTATGGTATGGTATGGTATGGTATGGTATGGTATGGTATGGAATGGTATGGTATGGTATGGTATGGTATGGTATGGAATGGTATGGTATGGTATGGTATGGTATGGTATGGTATGGTATGGTATGGTATGGTATGGTATGGTATGGTATGGTATGGTATTCTATGCTATGGTATGCTATGGTATGCTATGGTATGCTATGGTATGCTATGGTAGGCTATGGTATGCTATGGTATGCTATGGTATGGTATGGTATGGTACGGTATGGTATGGGAAAGCCACGGTAGCAGGCAAGGCGAGAGTAGATGAGGCGTTGAGCAGGGGCAGCAGGCACGCACGAGCGGCAGGGCGGCGATTGTGCGCGGGGCTTTACCAACGGACACGGGGTCACACCACACTGCCACCCCTGCTGCTGCCGCCACTGTGAGCACGGCGAGGTGGGTGATGGGAGGGAGGGAGGGAGGGATAGCGGGAAGGAAGGAGGGGGGGAGGGGTGTGCCGAGGGAGGAAGGATGGCGTGAAAAACTACTGCTGCTGCTGCTGCTGCTGCTGCTGCTGCTGCTGCTGCTGCTGCTCGAGGTGGCGGCATGAGCAGACGCCATGAGCAGCAATGAGGCACAGCAATCGGCGTGGGAGTGGTAGTGGGTGTGGGCGAGTGTGAACTAGTGGTTCCCCAGGTGAGCAGCAGCAGGGCAAGGCGAGCAGAGCAAGTGTGGCAAGGGTGGGCGACAGGTAGGAGGGAGAGCGAGCGCGCACATTGACAGGCATGGGCGAGCAGCGAGGGCAGGAGGTTGGTGTCGACGACAAGGCAGGGCGCAGAGTGCATGGCATGCGTGAAGCGCGCTACCCACTCCTCCTGCACCCCTTGCTCCTGGTGCCAGGCCAGGAGGGCCAAGGAGTGGGGGGACGGAGGTAGGGGGGCAGGGGATAGGAGGGGAGGGGAGGGGAGGGGAGGGGGGGGAGGGGAGGAGAGGGGAGGGGAGGGGAGGGGGAGGGGGGGGGAGAGGGGAGGGGAGGAGAGGGAAGGAGAGTGGAGGGAATGCGAGAAAGCGAGCTGATGACAAGTGATGACAACTGTGTTGCGGTGTGCATTAAGGTCGTGAGCTTCAAGTGTGCTTTCAGTCATCTCGGAGGTAGCCGTGATGCCGTGATCTCGAAACTGGTGCCGTGCTTGATATCCATAGAAAGCAACAGAGCTCTGGGCGCACCTCAGTGTAGATAGCGGGTCGAGGAAAAGACGGTGGGAGCAGGGAGGCATGGTGGGAGGGGGGGACAGAGATTGGAGTGGAGTGCATGAGGTGGGGTGAATCCAATGCAGTTATGATGATGGTGGGCTCAAATCACATGCACCCAGGCGTGCGTGCATGCGGGTGCATGTGTGCATGTGCACTCGTGCATGTGAGCATGTGAGGCCACAGCGCAGCGCCCCAGGCAGCAGCGCACCAGGACAGCAACGTCAGCGACGCCAGCAGCCACCTCGCCTGTGCCATCGAACACACTCGCCACCACCGCCGTGCGCTGCCCTGCTGCCCGCACTATGCCTGCGCACACTCATACGGGGACACGCGAGGGCATGGGGGGGTGCCGAGGGGAGGGGCATAGGGGGCATGGGGGGCCATAGGGGACAACGGGGGGTTATTGAGGGGCATGGGAGGCACCAGGGGACACAAAGGCGCACAGGGGCACATGGATGGAGCAGGGACAGGGTGAGAAGGGGAGAGCAGAATGGGAAGGAGAGCGCGGGGTGATGAGTGAGGTGAGTGGGAGCTGGTGGGGAGGACACGAGGGATGGTGATGAGCAGAGCGATGGAAGAGGGTGAAACGAGGGGCAATGGGGAGATGGCGGTGTTGGGGGGGATGGGGAGGGGAAGGGGCTAGGCAGAACAAGCAGCATAATGTGATATGGTGCAGTGTGGTATAGTATGGTACGGCATGGCGTGGCATGCTCAACCCCTTCATGTGCTTACCCTGGGTGGACAGACCTCTTGCTGACCAATGGGAGAGTAACACGTCAGCTGACGGAAGAAGGGAGAGGGGGGAGGGGAGAGGAGAGAGGGGAGAGGGGAGAGAGAGAGAGAGGGGAGAGGGAAAAGGGGAGAGGAGAGAGGGGAGAGGGGAGAGAGAGAGAGAGGGGAGAGGGAAAAGGGGAGATATGGAGAATGAGATAAGGAAGTGTGGGATACACAGGAAGTTGTTTGTTAGGATGATATGAGAAACAATGTGAAGAGGAAACAGTGTTTCCTATTTGGCGTGAATGGGCTAAGAAGCAGAGAGGTAGGTAGGTAGAGGATCTATGGATGGGATGAGACGAGAGTGGTGGAGATGGATGGAGAGGAGTAGGAGAGGAGAGGAGGGGCGTGAAATGCGAGCAGCATTGCGAGCACCTGCCTGCAGCATCATCCCCCACAGCGGAGATGAGGAGCGGCGGGGCAGTGAGTGCCGCCATGCACTCCCCTATGTTGCGCGCCACTCCCCCTGGGCGGAACTCCACCTGTCTCCCCCACGAGAGGGGGGAAGGTATGGGAGGGAGAGGGAAGGGCAGAGGAGGAGGGCAGGGAGGGGGAGGCGAGAGAGGATGGGGCAGTGAGGGGGGGGCAGAGGGGGAGGGAAAGGACGGTTGGAGAGGAAGGGAAGAGGGAGACATCGGTTCTGCTAGAGTCGTTTTTCTAGAATTCTAAAAAAAAGGTCGCTGGCATTTGCAGCAATGGGCCAACGGAAATGCCTCGGACGACACTTCCTCCCCTCCCATCTTCTCTCTCCCTCCCTCACCCTCTCTCTCGCTCCCTTTCTCATACGAGGGGAAGGAAACGGGTGGGGGAAAGGAGGGAATGAGATTACGATGGGGCCGAAGGGTTAAGGAGGGGCGGGGCCGGTAGGGGAAATGTGGGGAGGGGAGGACGTATCAGAGCGCAGGGCACAGACCGCAGGTCGCGGGGCGCAGGGCGCAGGTGCGCGGGGCATGTGTACCTGTCCAGGCGTGGTGGTGCCTCGCTCCAGTGCCCGCTCCGCGCCCGCCCTCCCCTGCACGTCCAGCACCATTGCCCCCACCACCACCGGCGCCCCCAGCGCCGCGCTCGCGGAGCAAGGAACGGCGGAAATCCCGCACCCGCGCGGGCAGGGGAAGGCGCAAGTGCTGCTTGCGCGGATGTCGTCGATGCTGCGCGGCTGGTTGGCGCCTTCCGCGGGGACCAAATGGCGGAGGAGAAGCGCGACGCGGGACTCGGAACGGGGAGCGTGCGACGACATGATGATGTGAGAGCACCGCGACGCAGCGGGACGAGTGACTCGGATGAGATCGGTTCGGTCAGGTTGGTTCGGAAGAGGTTGGGTGCGGTCAGACCGTCGGACTTGCGGCAACGGCGAGGCGTGATCGCGTGGGTGATAAGGACGGGGTGCACAAGGCGAGGGGGACGAGGAGAGGAGTTCTGCAAGCGCACTGTCAGAGGCGCGAAGGAACTACTGTACGACAAGGCGATGAGCTGGAGAAGACGGTCGAGGCACGACGACCACGGCGAGGCGCAATCGCCACTCGCGACTATGGTTTGGTTACCCGGCTGCCACCAAGTTGGCGTGTCGAAACACGAGCACACCTGTTTTCCCTGTTTTGTAATTCAAGGTGATTAGTCGCAACTTTGTGGACTCAGCATACCTGTGTTATTTTTCCGTAAAAGCGATAATCACGACATCACGAAGCTTCATGACTTCGTGACATCGCACAAGCGAAAGCTATTGTTTCATGGCCGTCGCCTTGCATTCTTGTAGCGAGTCTATGGAATCTTCCACACCACTCTTCACCTCATCGCACCGCCTGCTTCAGTAATTCTGTTAACTTTAGTTCTCTACAGCAGCTTAGCCTTGTTACAGTGGTAAGACAACTTCATATATAACAGATAGCATCTACTGAATATTTCTTACCATGCGTAAAACAGCATCCCTGAATCTCACCTTTTCAGGTCAGAAATGACATGCAATTGCAAACACCAAGGAACAACGCCCAGTGGGTGAAAGCACATAACACTAGATGCTACAAGCGATTTGCCATGACAGTACCTGAAGACATGATGTGTGTTTCCTTCTGGTGAGCTTGGTGAAGAGACAGAAGACAAAAGGTCCTACTAACACACTAGAAGGTTTGGTACTAACCTCAATAGTCATTGGAATCACCCGTATAGCTGATTATGACAAAGGTGTGCCAAGAAAGTCAAACAGCCTACAAAATACTTCCTGTTCGGTCTGTCCGTAAGTCACAATCTCAGCAAGCTATCTGGCACACACATCCAACAGACTGGAACTCAAGAGACTGGACTGGAAAAGAAAATGAACAAGGGGGGCACCTGAGAAAGCCCAAGGCCTGACGCTGAGCCGTCCCCCCCTCTTATCCAATATGCTTGAAGAGCCAGGATGAGCCTGCATGAAACAAGCCAAGTGATCCACCCCTACAGCAGCCCTATAATCCCAATGCTGCAACACCACCCCTGCACTTCGCGAATCCGCTACCTCCCCTCCCCCAATTGCCCTAGTCAGCAAAAGCACGAGCGAACCAACAAGTGGTCTCTCACAGGCTGTGCCACAGCGCAGGGTGGCATGGCATGGCATACCGGTTGTGCCAGTGATCGCAAGCAGCAGAGTGCAGAGCAGAGTGGTGCAGCACAATGCAGAAGGATTGGAGCCGGTCTGCCTGGTCATGGTCAGGGTCATGCACGCACATGGTAGCGAGGCAGGCTGGCCCGGCGCTCCTCCTGCACAGACACCCACGCACCAGGCACCAGGAAACAGGCAACGGGGGGGAGAGCGCACACGGGCCAGGGAGAGCAGTATAGAGGGCAGTATAAATGCTGAATCACAAAGATTGCTCATGTCATGGCATGCCTGAGGGGCATGAGGTAGTGGGCCATTGGCCAGAGTGGTAACTGATGGACTTGCAAAGATTAAATACACAAGAGGATTGTGGGGAGGTAGGAAGAGTCCAACAGTCAGGAAAAGAGATGTGGCGGGGCCCTGAGGAGCGGTGTGGGAGGTGTGTGGGTGGGCTGGGGGGTCAAGGTGGGGAGGAGACAAGACAGTACATGCTCTTAAAACCGAATAGGGGTGTTGGGAGTGGGAGGCAAGTGGCAGACAGTTCGTACCATCGACATCTGGTCGTCGTCCCACACCAGATACACCTCCGTCACCGTCGTGGGCGCAGCCGCTGCAGCCGCTGCAGGTGCAGCCTGGCCCGCTCCTCCCGCTGCCACTCCAACTGCTCCTGCTGGTGCCCCTGCTGGTGGTGGTGCCCCTGCTGCCATGACTGGCAGTCCCGCTGGTGGCGCTGCACCCGCAGGCGCACTGGTGGCGGCGGGCGCAGGGGCTGGCAGGAGCGACGCTGCAGCAGGGCGGTGGGCGAGAGGGGGAGAGGGGGAGGGAGGGAGGGAGGGAGGGAGGGAGGGAGGGAGGGAGGGAGGGAGGGAGGGAGGGAGGGAGGGAGGGAGGGAGAGGGGAGGGTAAGAAGTCAGGGAGCCACGAGGCAACGAGGGACAAGCGGGGGAGCAGTTGCGAGGCAATGCAGACGAGCAGGAAAGGGAAAAGGACGAGAAAGAGAGAATTGCGCACGAGCAAAAAGTAGGACTGGAAAGGGGGGTTATGGGAAGTTGTTGAAAACACGGGGGAGAGGGGATGAAGGGGAGGGGGGGGGGGGGGGGGGAGAGGAGGGGGAGAAGAAACGACACAACCACGCAACGCATTATAACGTCATAATCTACATCACATCCTAATAAGAATCAGAACAAGACACAACAAGTAGCTTGATTGCCCATTGCAACTTACAACATTCAAACCACACCTTTCCCTTCTCCTTGATGCCCCTTATCCCCCCCCCTCAACCCCAATCAAAACAGCCCTCCCTCCCACCCCATCCAACCACACACACCCACCCCAGAACCCAGCACTGACCTCCCTCCCCTTCTCCTTCCACCTCCCCCTCTCTCACTGCGCAACTCACCAGGCGCGCCGTAGCTTCCCCCCGGCATGGGCTGTCCTGGTCTCGGCGCACCCGCGTGCGGCGGAGGCGCCCCAGCTGGCGGCGGAGCCCCCGCGCCCGGCGGAGGGCCAGGGTACCCTGGCCGCGGAATGGGGAAAACCGCCCCTTGCGGAGGATAAGGGGAAGGCCCTGCGCCAGGGCCGGGGGGGAAGTGCTGCGCGGAAGGTCCTGCGCCCGCGGGAGAATGGGCCGGGGAAGGCGCTGCAGGCGCTGATGCGGCGGAAGACGGAGGCGGGCCGGCGGAAGCTATGGGGAAGACGGGACTCGCGGGAGGAGGAGGCGCACCGCCAACCATGCCAGGTGCGCCCGCGGGCGCGGTTGCGGAAGAAGCGGGGGGGTACGCGTTCGGCGGAGTGCTCATGGAGTGCGGCGGAGGGGGGCGGACGCCGCCTTGAATCGGAAAGAGCGGTTGAGGAGGCGGGCGCGGAGGAGGGGGGAAGGAAGAGGGCGGGTGACCCGGATGGAAGTATCCGGGGGAGGGGGAGTGCGCGGGAGGGGGAAGCCATGCGGGCATGGGGGGGTATCCTGGGCCTTGAGGGGCCCACTGGGGTAGCATCTGCGGTGGCGGCATGTGTTGCGCGTAGGGGTTGGGGTATCTGCGCACAGGGGACACCAGGGACACAAACGGGGGAGGGGAGGGGGGGGGGGGAGGGGGCGGGGGGGTAGGCGGAACGCAACAAGCCTGATGATGTGCCAAACGACGGCGACACTGGTAAGAGATTGCGAGTGCGGGTTGAATAAGAAGGGCCCAGTTGATTTGAGTTTTGCAAAGTCCAACATCAAGAAGAAAGTCAGCGAGCCAGGAAGCGACGAGAGACGGACAAGGAAGCGGCAGGTAAGACATTCGTCGAGAGGCGAGGAGGGGAGGGAAGTAGAAGGAAGCGCAGAGGGGAGAGGGGAAGAGAGGGGAGGGGAGGGGAGAGGAGGGAAGGGGAGGGGAGGGGAGGGGAGGGGAGGGGAGGGGAGGGGAGGGGAAGGGAGGGAAGGGGAGGGGAGGGGAGGTGGGGGAGAATAGGGGATGGAACACGAAGATGGGAAGAGAGGGTAGAGGGGGGACAGGAAGAGGAAAGGAAAAAATCTGAAGGAAATCACCAGGATACTCACGCTTGCATGGGTGCAGCGTAGAGCGGTTGTGGGGCCATACCGGCGGGAGCAGCGCCATAGGCCGGCTGGGGCGGCGGCCCTCCATCATCATCATCATCGTCGTCCTGCTCCGTTCGCTGCAACTTGGCAGCTCGCTCCTCTGCTCATAACGGATCAGAGTAAAACGGATCAGAATAAGCGGAGGACGGAGAGCGACGACAGAAAGACTACTGGGAGGTCATTGGTTGGAAATGGATTGCGTGACTCTAAAAAGCCCTAAAAGGCATATATCCCTTAGAAAGAAGACAAAACACACGACAATTTCATATCATCATTCCGCAAACTGGGCAATGATCAGCAATCAACAATATTGCTAAAGAAAATCCGTCCCAAGCACATGATGAGTACCTTGCTCGGCGTTGTGCGCGGCAATAGCCTCAGGCGGGATTCCCTCCATCCCAAAAATCTCGATCTCCACCGACTCCCTCCCCGGACGGGCATTAGGAACTCTGGAGGCAGTTAATTTGACACGATCGGACTTAGTGTATTGGTCTCTTACACGAAAGGAAGAAAAATGACTGAAAAAAAAAAAATCTTCGCGCTCACAAACGAAAATGGTTGAAAGCAGAATAAAAACTTTTAAAAGCCATCACTTACTTGGTAAGATTTTCCTTGTGAACTTGGAGTACGTGCACCACCATACCGCCAGCCGTGCTAAGCTTCTTGTGGCATACGTGGCACTTGAAATGCTTCGCCTTCTGGTGCTGAATCAGAATCTTCTCGTCGTCGAACTCACGATCGCAGTAGAAGCACCACGGCTTCGCATCCTTTCTCTTCTTCTTCCCCATCTCGAACGAAAGCCGATCCGATCAGACAACACACAACGAGGAAGCTCAGCCGATTCCCTTGTATTACAAGCCGAATCAGTAGTAACAGGCTTTGGAAGCTGAAGCGGGCCTCACAGACTTGCAACTTCAGCAGCAGCTGCTGCAGTTCTCCTCCCAACTGGAGAATGCTCTTGCAATTTTCCCCATCTCATATATCAGAGAAAGGGGCGCGCGCATTTCTCTCACGGCGCGCGCCGTGAGCGCTCTTCCCCACCACGGCGAGGCAACCACCATCAGCGCAGGGCTGCTTCGCGCTGGCGAAGCAACCCCTAGGGGAAACCAATTCTGGGGCAAGGTTTGCATCCGTTGGGGCTGTTTCTCAGGAGTTACCACGTGACAGCGACGAAATTGTTCAGAGAGCTGGCGAAAAGTTTAGTCCTTATGGCGACGTCAGGTTATACATTTCACACGCGCTTACAGTTCCTGCATCGTGGCGCATGACGGTTCAACACGGTGAGCAGCGGTTCTTGACGAGTACCGCTCTTCACCGTGTCGAAACGTAATCTACCGGAGAGGGCGAACAAAAAGTTATACAACTTGACGTCGCCCTTGTGGGATTGGCCAGCAACGCATCGGTAAGAGTAACTTCACTAGGCGTGTGCAGGATTCATTTGTGAACAGAAAAGAGAGCCCAGAAAGGATTACCAGCACATCAAAGGAGCACTATGTAAACCTGCTTGCTGGGCTGCCTGCTCCATACTACTGTACTCAAACCACAGCCTTCTAAGTGGTGAGGCGCATAATGGCATCGACGATATCACCGCTGGTGGACTTGAGGGCAGAGATGGCCTTGCCACGGGAAACGCCCGCCTGGGTCATGACGAGCTCAATGTCCTTCTCCTCCACACCTGTCGCATCCACATCCTCCTCCGCCTCCTCTGCCGCTGCCGCTGTCTCCACAGCCTTGACATCAGCAGCCGCGAAGTCGGGCATCTTGAACTGCAATGGCAAAGATGAAAACAACGTAACATGGCAGGACTTGTTTATGCGATGAAAAAAGGGCACAAGCATACATTCCAGCAAGAAAGGTCAGCAAAAACCAGAACTGAGACTTTGGAATTATAAAGCCAGAAATAGAATGGTTTACCAGCCTGCCAAGCCTGCCATGCTTGGCAAGCCTGCTGCCTATCCAAGGCCACCAAGGCCAGCAAGGGCGGCAAGGGCAGAAGAACGCACCTGCTCAGCGGCCTGCGACTGCACGTGGGCGGAGAGGTCCTCGATCTCGCCAAAGATGACGTACGTGTTGGACGCAGGGCTCACAAACACGTCCGGACGCGAGATGGCGAACAGCGTGCTCTTGCTCTGCTTGATCGTCACGCGCGACACGCCCGTCAGCGCCTTGAGCCCCAGCTTCTGCACCGCCTTGCGCGCCTTCTTCTCACTGCGACTCTGTGAAAGAGGAAGGGCAGGGGCGGGGAGGCGCACAGCAAGAAGGGGACGGGGGACAACGATAAATCAAACGACATTCCAGATGTGAGGTTCAAGATCCGGGGTTCGAGGAGGAGTGGAACACAGGACAGAAGAGTCAAAGGTCGGGTAATAGTCGAGTCGAGGTCCTAAGAGTCGACTCAAAAGTCATTCAGCCAGCACGAGAGAGCAGCGCAGCGCGCACCTGCTTGCCCTTGCGGTTGCCAGCAGCGGCGTCGTCGTCGGCGCCCTCGTCGTCGTCGTCATCGTCCTCGTCGTCGTCGTCTTCCGCGTCGTCCTCCACCTTCACCTCCTCCTCCGCCTTCTCCTCCGCCTTGTCCCCCTCCACCTTCAGCTCCGCCACCACCTCTGCCGCGCGCCGGGGAAGTGGGGTTGGGCGAGAGAGGGTAGGAGGTGGAGGGGAGATTGGAGAAGGGGAGAGGGGGCGGGGAGAAGGGGGAGGTGGAGCAGGGCAGGGGGGAAGGGTGAGTGGGGGAGTGGTGGAAAAGGAAGAGAAGGAGAAGAGGATAAGAGGAGGTCATGAGGGGGAAAGATGAGGGGCGGGAATTGGAGAACGACCAACAGAAATAGCAAATGGGCGGTGGGCATCTATCGTGGGGATGGGGAAGGAGCGGGAACGACATTTGTGCCTGTCCCCTGGGTCCTCCCGTGACACGTCGCAAGGGAACCCTAACCCCCTCTCCGTGGGACTCGGGAGACACGGAGGCAACGTCGACGCGGTAGAAAACGGGGTAAGGGAGTCAATACGCGCAAGCTCCAACGACATTAATTTTCATTTCTTAAGTTTTCAAGTAACCCAATCCGACGCGCACCGCGTCGCGCCTGGCACCCAGTTCGCAGCGCGCAAAGATAAGACGCGCACCTCGTCGCGCACCTCGGACGGCGCGTTATATACGAGAGATGCGAGATGGCGCGATACGCTTCGCCGAATCACGGACCGAAGAAGCAGGCAGTCAAAAGGCGGTTAGTGCTCTTGCCACTGACACGAGCGCGGGGGGGTTATATCTAACCAGGACGAGAAAAGCCTACCTTCGACTTTCTCGACAGCTGCGTCTGCTGCCATTTTGGTAAGAGTATGCGCGCCCGGAAGGTCTAGAAGAATCGCGAGAGGTGGATCGATTGCAACGACTCCTGAAGAGGAAGGAGGCAAGAGAGCTCGTAAATGAAGTGGCAAGGAAGTTATCACGAATCAAGATGGAACCGCCGATAGACAGCTCTCCCATATTATTATTACAAAGCATCCTTCACGAAAAGTGGAAATTTGTTGAGCCATATGTGTACTTTGTTGGTATTGAAGGGAAGAAAGATACTTCAAGCAATTCAGTCTTCAGATTGAGTTAGTATAGTGTTATTGAAGTATTGATCTAGATGAATGTTACTGTAGCATGTGTCCCTTTGGGAGTGCAACAGTTTTTGCGATCAAAAGATTGTTCGTGCCTAGGACCACCTCAAGAAGGTTCAAATAGAGTGATTTGCAGCAGAAGGGTTGACCTCAGGTCAGAGTGAATATAGAATGACTGAGACGATTAAAAACAAAGGCAAACATAGGTTTATATAGTAATACAAAATGAAAACCAAACGTCTTAGCTGGCAATGTATTCTAATCTAAGGGGTATATTCTCTTATTGCAGAGAAACTCAACCGTGGGCTTCTAGACGGTTACAAACCTGTTCCCTCCTAAATCCTTCGTGTTGCAGCTGCCCGATGCTTCTGCTTCGACGATCCAGGTGCTGCCAACCGTACGCGACCTTTCGCGACATTCTGACATTTTGCTCCAGAAGCGCCCTCCTTCCCATCCTCCCCCCATCCCCCCCACCCCCACCTCCCCCCCGCGGGCCCACGTAGTTGCGCGTAGCCTGCACCTTTCGCACCCGTGCCTTCCCTACCTATGCTCCTCCCTCGCAGTGCCTATTGTCTCCAACACGTTTACTGCCATAAGCTTCTCTAACGGCAGCTAGCAGCCGCAGTTGCTTCTACTGGCGCGGATTAGGGTTAGTACCCTGACGTTGGTGGCGTTCCTAGCCCATATTCCCTAGCCTACTGTTCCTACTCTGGTTCCATTAGCTCCGTTTTTCTCCTTGCTCCGGCCGTTCTTAGATTGGCCACTCCTAGCTCCAGTCGCTCCTAGCCTGGCCTCACCTTGCTCAAGACGCTCCTAGGTCCAGCCGCTCCAAGCTGGTCCTCCCGTCGCCTACGATTCCATGCGGAGGGCCGTCATATCGACTTTAGCACGTGACTCCGCCAGGCTCGGCGCCACCTTACTAGTCAGCGCCAAGACGATGCCACCTTGTACGCCCACGCATCTCGCGCCCTCCAGGCCCCTCCGTGCCCCACCCCCCTGCCTGCTGCCACTCTCAAGGGGCAGGCGGACTATGACCGGCGGTTTTTGGCGCATGACATCTGGGACTCTCGTGATGCTGCGGCTGCTCTCGCACTGACGGACCTTCTCCAACCGACTGAGGCCGTCCACTTCTCCCAGGTCGAGACCGCGAAGTGGTGTTATGACGCTATTATTGCGTGTTATTCCACCCCTTCCTACGCCACATCTTAGCCGCCTCCTCATGTCGTTTGTGCTTCCCAACCTTGGGTCGTTTGCGACTGTCTCCGACCTAGCCACTCACCTGCGTTCCCTTGTCACTACCTGCCGTGCGGCCTGCATTAAGGCTCTGCTTTTCCTTGCCCCCCCCCCCTTGTGTGGCTCACAATCCACTGGTTAGTCACTCGCCTCCTTGACCGCGTCTCCTCTGGCCGTGACGCACTTCTTCAGAAGCACCCCAGTGAGCTTATGATCGATCTTCTCAAGACCACTCTTCTCAAGATCGAAACTAGCCTCCTCTCTATCGCCTCTGCCGCTGACGCAGTAGCTCCCTGTCTCTTTGAGGGGTGTGCTGCTCGTCAGCTTCCGACCTTCACTGCTACTTGCGCCAATATTGCGATGTCTGTCTCTGAGGAAACTGCAGCTGTTTCAGCCGCTGGTTGGTGGAAACAGGGCAAGGGTGGCAAGAAAAAGGGGGGAAGGGTGGTGGCAGCGGTGGAGGTGGCAGAGTTGGAGTTGGGAGCGGTAGTGGTGGCGGTGGCGGTGGTACTAGTGCACTTGGAGGAGGAGGCACGGAGGAGGTACTGGACCGGTGGGCCCACTGGCTAGAGGTGTTACCCATAGCGATGGTGAGGGAGGGCAGCAGTAGTAGCAGCAGCCACAGCAGGGACAGCAGCAGCAACAACAGGGACAACAGCAGTGGCAGCGCAGCAGCAGTGGCAGCGCAGCAGCAGTGGCAGCGTAGCAGGTGGCGGGAGCACTAGCCACAACAGAAGCTTTGCCAACTGGGGCCCCCGCCCCACCAGGCGCGACTCCGATTCCTGCGAATACTGGATCCTGACGGGACCAAATAGTCCTTGTGTTAGCGGGCGCGGTGACCACTCTGCAGCGCATTGCTTCACTCGCCTCGACGACCTCTACAGTGCATGCCACGGTCACGCGGGACGCACCCCGCTCTCGGAATAACTGCTAGCCCGTAAGATTCCTGTATGTGACCTGTCTATGGATGAGGCTTGTCAATATGCTTTATATGCTGATGTTGACTCTAGTGCTGATGGATCTGTTTGGTCACGTGTTCCTAGACTAGGATCCTTGCCTGTTGCTAGTGTAGAATTTTGTCCTTCTTGTCTAGGTGCTTGTGTTGCTGCACTAGGTGCTTGTGTTGCTGCACTAGGTCTTGTGTAGCTACCAGTCCAGGTGAACGTGCGGCTGACGTGTCGCTCTCTTTTTCACTAGACTCTGGAGCATCATACATCTTCTTCCGCGACCACACGACTCTCACACCACTCCTTGCTCCTGTTCTAGTAGCATTGGCTGATCCTACTTCAGGACCAGCAGTCGCACGCAGCTCTACCACCCTCCCGTGCCCTGTGGTACCCTTTGGTGTCCTTACTAGTCTCCATATCCCCTCGTTCACTCGGAACTTGGTAGGTGTTGGATACCTTAGGCATTGAGGGATCACTGTCACCTTCCTTGGGCACGGGATGAATGCACTCAGTACGGACACTTCCACTAATGCACTTCTTGCCACGTTCACCAGGGAGCCCCGCTTCGGTCTTTATGTTCTCCACACTAAGCGCTCCCATGTAGCTGCGTCCCCTCAAGTTTCTGCGTCCCGTCAGGTTGATATGTCTGGTCAGGTTGCTGTGTCCAGTCAGGGCGCTGCATCTTGCTCCTGTCTGTCCCTCAGGCACCCGACAGTCCTATGGCACCACCTCCTTCGCCACCTCTCCCTCCGCTGCCTCCGCAGCATGGCTAGTCAGCGTCTTGTCTTAGGTCTCCCACGCGTCTTTGCGTCGCTCCCTCCCTCGTTTGCTCTGTCGTGCATGCGGAGATAACTACTACAATGGGAGCTAGACTGCGGGCTAGGCACAGGTGCTCGTGTGATCTCCGCTTTCGTTAGTCCTTAGTCGTTTTCCTAGTGCACACACTGCTTGCTTGTTCACGGGGCAAGTAGGCAAGAGTTTTACTAGAGAAAGTTGACAACAATGGTACAATCAGGTTGGCAAGACAAGACTACATCTGAGCTAGCATTCAGGTCAGTCGACTGCCAGCACAGCATGGTCGATCGCATTCCAGCACGGCTTGGTCGACCGCATTCCAGTAGTGCAAAGTCAACGGTGCCGCAGAACAGCAGCGCACTAGCTTCGCAGGTGCTCACAGATGATTGGCGTGCTGAGCCTCGTCACCAGCACAACGCACACACCAAGTCATCCTCGTGCTGACGACTCCACCTGATCCGCCACGTCGACCTCGGGATATCACCACCGAGGTCAGTCTCGCCAACATCGCCTGGGCGACCGTCGCACTCTTCCGCAGAACCTCATTACCCAGATAACCTGGTCGACCGGGCAACCACGTCGACCAGGTGCTCCTGTATGTGCCCGTCGACCTCCCAAGTCGACGGCCACCTCCAAGTCGACCTCACCAGGTCGACCACACCCCTGGTCGACCAGCTCCAGGTCGACGTCACTCCTGGTCGACCAGCTCCACGTCGACCAGCGCAGTCGTCAGCCGACCACCCAAGTCGGCTACCCGAAGTAGGCGTCACCAAGTCGACGCCCCTTCTATGTCGGCCGACTTCCGGGCCGACCTCTTGAAGTCGGCGACCTCCCAAGTCGGCGACCTTGCAAGTCGGCGACCTTGCAAGTCGGCGACCTTACAAGTCGGCAACCTTGCAAGTCGGCGACCTTGCAAGTCGGCGACCTTGCAAGTCGACGCCGACTTCCAGGTCGACGTGCCACATCGCCGACCACCAGTTGAAGTCGGCCGCCGGCTTCCCAAGTCGGCGGCATTGCAGTGGCCCCGTGCAAGTCGACCAACCCCGTCGACCAGCTCGCCCAAGTCGGCATCGCCCACTGCTGCAAGTCGGCTGTACCCCCCGTACACCCAACCACGAAGTCGGCTTAGTCAGAATGTGTAGTTTGTCTAGCCTGCAGTGGGGTACTCTGTAGTGAGTATGACCCCTTAGGGTTTCCTATATGTATCCACCTGCTTGCTAGTGAACCCCCTCCTTTGCTTAATGCTCTCTTGCCTAGCTAGGTAAACCCTAGCTATGGCTCCTCGTTTTGCTCCCTCTTGTGACATGCTAATAGAACTGTTACGCTCTTGTCCTATGGGCCCACCTGCTTCCGCTGCTTTCCTGTCTGTCGCGCGCACCGTGGCGCGCGACGCTGTTTTTACTTCCCGCCACGCTCTCGGGGCGCATGGCGGTTTTCTGCCCGCCGTGCGCCCTGGGAGCGCGCGGCGGTTTCGTACTCCGTCCCGTGCGCTCCCCCTAGTCGTCCGTCGAGGTGCCCCCGGGGACCCGCGGGCTCCCTCCCGTCGTTTGTCGCGGCACCCTCGGGGACCCGCGCGCTCCCCTCCCCCCGTCGTCCATCGTGGCGCCCTCGGGGACCCGCGCGTCCCCCCCCTCCCGTCGCCGGTCGAGGCGCCCCGGGGGCCAGCGCGTCGCCCCTCTCCCGTCGCCCGTCGTGGCGCCACGGGGGCCGCGCGTCCCCCCCATCCCGTCGCCCGTCGTGGCGCCC